ATGGGAAAACAGCAATCATCTGTCAGTTCCTGTATTTAGGCCTGCCTGATAAATTATGGCAGAACACTTACTTCTTGGATGATGCTGAACACATCCTTTATTGCCAATGGTATGATACCGGGAGCATTTTGATCTCCCTGTAGATATTAAAAAAAAGAGTCAAAAGTAAGATGAGTGGAATTTTTTATTATCATATCATAAAATTAGAAACATAAGACTCATGTTAAATAAAAGGTGGAAAATTATTGATAAATATCAGGATGTATCACACAGGATGTTAATATTAATTGGACTAAGTAGTAATGTGATTAAAATTTTGTCAATAAGGGGACAAAGGAATATACAGTTTCAAGGCAACAGAATATCCCCAGATATAAAGTAGTAAAAATTAAATTTAACTAAAACGCAGATACAAAAATCTTTTTTTCTTCTGCCATTTCCAGAGTATATAAGGTACATAGAGAGTGTGATATAAGAAGAAAATATATAATACATGACTTGGTTTCACCACTAATATACAAGTAAATATGTCCTAATTGATGAAAGTTTTACCCATGTTATATATGTGAAAACTAACTTTCAGAATGGATAAATTTAGCAAAATTTAGAAATTGAGATTAAAGTTCCGAAGTTTCTAAGTTCATGCAGAATAACTTCAAATATAAACGCAGAATAATACAAGAATTCCACTGATAAATGATGCAAGAAACTTAAATACAATGCCTTATGCCAAAAAGAGCATTTACAGTGTGTAATACCTGTACCTATTTTACTTGAATGTTTGTTACCATTTATGGAGGAAACCACACAGTTATGTATTTAAGGAGTTCCTCCCCAATTGCCATATATAAAAGTTTCATCCCAAAGCAACATAAAACTAGCAAATTTTCTATTAATAAGAAACAGAATTGACATGCAACAAAGTTCAAAGAATTCATAAGTAAATAGGATAAGCAATAGGGGAAAAAAGTTTGAGTGAGGCAATTAGAGTATTAGACTTACATGCATAGTGTGTGTCTTTCCACTACTTGTAACACCATATGCAAAAACAGTTCCTATAATTCCAACAAGTTAATATTAGCTTCAATCAATTACAAAATATTATTTCAGAAGTGAAACAAAGCAACATTACAATAAATGAGGTAGATTAATCTTTGGATACCTTTAGTTAAAATTTAATTAGCAATCAACTGAAAGAAATCAATACACATTCCATAAATTTCAATTGCCATACCATTAACACCTTCCATTGCAGCCTTCACTACAGGTCTAGCAGCTACCTCGTAAACCTCTTGAGAAGAAGCATGAGATCCGAATACTTTGTCTGTAAAAGGCAAATCAAATACACTTATACAAATTCCACATTCATTCCACTTGTCAGGCTTAAAAATCATCATTTTAACTAAAAATAAGTAAACCCAACAGCACATTATATTGCTTCATTCATTTAGGCTACTTCGCAAATGGATAGATTCAGCAATTCCAGAAATTGACAACAAAGGCAAATCGGAAATAAATTCCCTTTTAATGTCAAAAACAAATTCAGCACTTACCAAAACCGTAAGCTGTAGCTGGATTATACTCGTTTCTCACAATCTTATCATCATCCGCATACCATGCGATCTCATCCCCTCTCAGAAATTCCCTTTCACTACAACCAGGTGAAAAAAAAGATAAAACAGATCAAATGAATTGCATTACCTGAAAATAGAACTCCGAAAATTAATTCCTTTATTGAGATCTAATATGATACACTCAGATCTACAACATACTTCAATGGCCGAAACCGAATCGTGACTGAAATACTATCCCCCGACGGCGTATCCAATGGCTCGCCGATCATCTCGTCCGACGGGTAAGCAACCGGCGTGCGAGCATTGAAACTTTGTGAACCGTAGTGCACCGAATCGGACATGGATCGAGAACCGTATTCACTTCCCGGGTTGAAATACGAAGACGCCGAAGAGAAGCTCATGTGAAGCGTTAGTTTGTTGCTCAAAAACGAAGAAGTCGAAGAAGTGGATGAGAAACTCGAAGATTTCCGATACGATAACGGCGAGCTGCTTCTGGTTGGGTAAGAAGAAGAATCCATACAAGGGAGAGAGAGAATGCGTGCGTGACTCACTGAGACAGTGACTCAATAAAGACAATACATACGAATAAGAAGACTAAGGAAAAAGCGTGTCAGTAAGTTCACATGGCTTGACATGCAGAAGACTGAAGAGCATTTTCAATATATACATAAATATGAACTTGGAATGAGAGTAGCTATGGAAATTAGAAGAAAAGTTAGAGAAGAAAGAGACTGTTTCGTCTTCTTTAAGACAAAGGGGGAGTTGCAGAGAGATAATAAAATAAAATTATGTTTAAAAAAATAATGAAATTTGAAATGAAGCAAGAAGCCCAAAGAACTGGTGGGGGGTTACAGATCTGTGTTTTTTACAGTGGAGTATGGAGTGACGTGGAAGTCGGTGGGGTTTCGAAATATATGGATTTTTGGAAGATATAATTAAAAATGAGCGCCAATTACTGGCGGATGTCCACAAAGAAGACAAAGCTTATATTACTAAAATCAGTAGGTTTTTGCTTAAATTGCATCTATTTTGGTCCGCCCAATCACTCCATCCTTTTTAAATTTTCAGGTGTGAGGTTTATTTTATGATAAAGTACGTAAATGTCCCGGATTATAAACTACTGTTTTGATGAATTTTTTTATTATTAAAAGTTATAAAATGATTATTTAATTATAAAATATCATTTTATTAAAAAATTATTATTAAAAGTTATAATATAATTATTCAGCTATTTATATATTCTAAACACGTTTTTTCTGTTAAAAATTGACGGTCGTTTGAGTTAGATATTAATTTGCTCACTGAAATATGATAAAATTTTACATCATAAATATTTGAGTTATATTTTGTGGATCAAGTCTTTGTTTACATCTTGTCGTCGAGTTAGTGCTTGAAACATTATGTCATTGAGTTAATGTTTAAAAGTAACGATGGTGTCAATAGACATAACTAAAATATAATTTTAACATAATTAGTATGTTAACATCAACTCATACGACTGTCAACTTTTTAATGAAAAATGATGAGCTTAGAATATATGAATAGTCGGGTGACCATTTTATAACTTTTAATAATTGATACTTAAAAAAAATACATTATATCATTTTGTAATTTTTAATAGTTGAGAAAGTCAATAAATTAACATCTCATAATCGGGGATTATTTCTATAATTTACTTTTTATTTTATTGGAAAGTCTAGGGTAATGTATAATAGATGCGATTGAACAATGTTTAAACATTTTTTAGTTATTTAATTTTTAAAATTTATAAATTAATTGTTAAGTGTTACAATTTTGTGATTTTCCGTTCAAATCAATCATGATGAACTACACAATTGTTTGACATCATAGATAAACCAAGATAAGTATGACATGATATAGGCATAATACCAAAAAATACTCCTAACATTTAATTAAATTGTCACTTTAACTTATATATATATATTTTAAGTATTTTGGTTCTTAACATTTTGTTTAGAAAAAGAGCTTATCATGTTTGATTAAATAGTTATTTTGGATTTTTTATTCATTTTAGGGTAGAAAGACTTGTATGGACCAAGTTAACTTAGTTGTTAAAGGATTGTTATTATTTCTAAATGTCTCATGTTCGAGCACTAGAGACTGCAGGGGTGTTTTGAGCTTTCATTATCAGATGGTTAAGAATTTTTAGAACAAATACTATTTGTAATCCCCTGAGATTAATATATATAATATTTTTTTCATCTAAAATGAATTTTTAAAACTAAAATAGAAACGTTTGATCAAAATACTTTAAAAAATTAGATGCTAAAATGACTATTTAATAGATGTTTTATGATATTATACCTACTATATATATGAACGGTACTTTTCTCAATTGAGGTACTATCAATATCTTTTTAGGGGCTGGAAGCAAAATCACATTAATAAATGATAAAATATAATATTTCGAGAACACAAATATTTTAATTGTTAGAAAATTTGTTCAAACAACCGGAAGATCCTCCAATAATCATCCCATAAATCACGAGGAGAGATATATATAAAAAGAGATGATTAATGGAAATAATAGAAAATAAAATAAAAGGTGAGTAAAGGGTTGATTGTCTGCTCCAATAATACAAAGTTTAATATTAAGACAATGCTCGTCTCTTGAGCCAGCAGTGAGTTAAAATAAAATAAAAATTAGAATTATTGTGGTAATAGATTTGTATTTTTTATAGTAGTGTCATAAATTGAGTTGTCCGTTGGCATATAGCGAGCAAAGAATTGGGAAGGAGAAGCGGTGGGAGTTTAATGGAGTTGGCACGTGAAATCTATCACGGCCAGACCCTGCCTTCGCGGGATGATGGTCCTGCTGCTGCTGGGCAAATGACTTGAGAAATTTGGCAAGTGTCGTTCCTGGCCAATTCCCCTAGTGACCGCGAGCACAAGCTATATCACTCATCACCTTTCCTTTTGATTCTTCACGTGCAACCTTCATTTCAATTTTGTCTCCTTTCACATGCCACCGCTCTCCCACATCTTTGGATTTTTTTCACCAAACATCCCTAAATTATCACTCAGATTTTAAATTAATATAAAATTTTAAAATATTTTAATTTAATCTTCAAAATATTAGTAAATATATCAATGAAGTCCTTAATTTCTTTAGCATAAAGTCAAATTAGTTTTGATATAAAGCACACTTAAAATACACATATCAAATTCTAAATATGTAATACCTATTAGAGGAGGGGGGAAATGAGAAATTTGATATCAAATTCAAAAATTAATGTCAATTACTCAATTAACACTTTATTTTAAAGAAAATAATTATTTTTATTCTATGTTTAAACTCAAATTTAGATTTCATTTTGAATATATAATACAATACTAATGGCAAAATCAAATAAATAAAAATCGAATATGTTGATGAAAAGAATATTAAAAAATGGGGAAAATACAGCATTTATTCTATATAAATCACATAAAAATAAGGGCACAGGACGACGAAAACTCTTCTATCTGGATACCCATAGGGTCCCATACATTATATATATCACAAGAAGAAAAGCTGCACACATAACACAAAAATCACAATTTTTTTTCTCAGACGCCAAACAAACAAAGGTGAAGACGTGTTAGAAAACTTATACTACTTTACTCGCAAGAACACGTTCCCTTCTTTCGATGTATGCGAAAGGGAACCAACCTGCTTTGCCCTTGCATTCTCCCTCAGCCCACCCACCGTCTGTCACCTGCCAAAGAGTACATAGAAAGTGAATCCGGGTGAGTATAATGTCAGTTTACGGAACAAGCCGACCGAAACTGGTCAAACTCGGTTCATCCGGTTTCGATTTTATTCAATTATATAATTCAGCTTTGATGTGTTTATTCAATCGTTTTACATTTTTTCTAACAGAAAAATCGAACAAACTGACACTTGAGTAAAAACATTATACTATTTTTTTAATTTGGGTTTGGTCAGAATTTCAAATATTATTCAATCCAACCAAACCCAATGGACGTGAAAAAACAAAACTTTTCAGTTGTTTCTTCAAGTATGTTTGGTTTTTCGGTATTTTAAAACCAAAACAACCGGATAACCAAATTCTCTTCCCTGGCAACAAGTGAAAATAGATTCTTGGAAGAGATATATGAATATAAAACAGTTATGGTTAAACCTTTCGCACAACTACATAGTCTCCAAGTGAGAGATTCAGCTCCGTGTCAGATTCACCGTTATACGGATACATAACCTGCAACAATACATCAATTACTCGGTCATCTTACAGATTATAATAAGTTGGTAATCCAAGTGTGCCAATGGTATCATATAGGACCGGGTTACAAACCTCGCCTAAAAAGTATCCCATCGCGTCTGTTGACTCACTGTGTGTTTGAGATGCATTAACTTCTTCATATGATGGAGGTGGCGGCATGTTGTCCGCCACACTTGGTGCTTCAATTCTTTGTTGCTCGGATATCATCTATCCGGAAGATGGAGGAAACATGATATTGTAATTTAGTTGCAGTGAAAGAATATCGAGAAAAATGGCTCAGTAGCACAAACTGCATACCTCGCTTCCAAGCTGCTCAAGTATCTGAAGGACTTGTTGATGATATGTACGTTCAGCTTCAACCTTCAGGCCAGAGATAAAATGAGGTTATCTAGTAAGGAGTAGGGTTCTGACTGCCGGAGGTTTTTCACAGAGCTGCTCTCAACCGTTGGGGGCAGCTTACTACCCTACCTCCCTTTATCCCATTGCATATGAAATAGGGTTTTGTTGTTGTAGTAAGGAGTAGGGTAAAATTGTTTATGAGATTACCCAGGAAGGGTAAATGTTTCAAAATTAAGTTCCTACATGCTACATGTAAATTATAATTAAGTATATATATACATAAATTTGGATTACCATAGCAATAAGTCTCCGAAGTGTCAACCTCTGTTGTTGGACTTCAACATTGGCCATTGCTGAAGCAGCTTCTTGTCCCAATGTTGACATGTTCGACTTTAGATCTTCCAGTTTGTTTTCCGCGGCTTCCAATTTCATGATATTCTCGTGATATACCGGCATTTCCTTCACTCTCGCTTGGCGTTTGGAGACTTCAATTACCTGTCTAGGTCCAAGAGGGTGTAAAGTTATAGCATAATCAAATTCTCAAGTTTAAGCTTTGAAAATCATAAATCACAAAGTGTACATGTCCACAGCTCTCTAGAGGAAACAAAAGGGATATAATTTGAAGCCCCGTCTTCACAATTGATTAGTGGGATTCAAACCTTTTACATCCTAAACCTAGTTGTTCAGAATATACATGAATGAGTGAGTACATATGTTCGCAGGAATTAATGCAAGCAGCATCCAATGCATAAGATAGCAATAGCCTATAAAACCTGTGATTCGGCTTCTTGTCGAACTCTGTCATAACGCTGAGCAAGATGTCTCGCATTCTCCAAAGAAGCTCCCATTACCATAGCTCTTAGTGGCTCAGCAACCTAACAAATAAAATCATTCAAAACATAACTTAGATGATTATATTGCAAACAATAATCAGGGGGAAGGTTAAAAAAATCCTCCACAAATGCCAAAACTAAGAATCCATGTATAGGTCATCAAATGACATTTTACATTTTAGGCATGAGCCTGCTTCCATGGATTCAAAGAACTTAGAAACCTAAATTTCGAGGATTTTAGGTTCTACTAACAAAAATTGTAGAGAAACCTGCGTGCCAAGAGCCTTCAACAGATTCCCACGTTCCTTCTCCATTTGAGCACGAGCAAGTCCGAAGCTTAATGCTGCTTTTGACAACGTATTACCGCTGGTACAGGTATTTTCAGAACCATATTTCTTGCTATCCTCGGACAGTTTTGTTCCTTCGGGAAGAAAAAAATACAGAATAAAACAATGATGGCAAGTCTATTAAATTCAAAGTGGAATTTCTATGTTAATTTTTTTTTCACTGACATAATACCTATTTCAACTTGTTTGGACCCAGTAAAAATATATCCTTCTACACTACGGACAATATCCCTTTGAAAATGCTGAAAAACAAAATCGGCCAACGAGAATGAGAAAAATAAAAGAGGCAAAAGTTGATGGCAGGTATCAACTAAACAACCTTGGCCATACGCGTTGAGATATAAAGCTTCTCAAGTTTCTGATGTTGTTTGAGTTCGGCTTCATCGGTAATTACTGTCTCTGAACCTCCAAATCCCCCGCCACCAAACTGTTTGAGGACAGCCTGAAGTAACATTCGGCCAATAACCGTCTTTTTTAGCAAAACTTTCGAATAAGTTCAAAAGTGCAAGATTACAATAGTCAAAGTATTTGAATTACAACACGTTAAGATGCTTACTTGCTTATACATAGCTATAAACAAATAAAAAACATACTGAAAGGTTTCTAATTGTATTCAACATACATTAAGAATTTTAATATTTTACATTCATTTTCATTTTTCATTTCATATTGTTCGTATAACAATTAATTGTTGGAAAAATAGTGAATTTTATTGATGGATTTTATATTTAAATTAAATTCATGTTCATTTTGAATATTATAAATTAAAAGATATTTTTAATTTGAATATTAGTAAGATAATTATCCTTTGAATATGTAAAATTAAAAGGTAAGAGTTACCTAGTTAACTTTGAATATTAAATATAATTATATATTTTTAAACATTTTAAATTAAAATAATATATATTTAAGTTTGAATAGTAAAAGATGGTTTTATGTTTTGAATATTTCAAATTAAAAAAATATTATTATCTGTTTAAACTTGAGTATTAAAAGATATCTAGTTGGAGTAAATCTCTCTTGAAAATCCCCTATAAATACTGAGTTAACTGCTAGATTATAATCACAATTTCATAATAAGTTTTCAATAGGTTTTTGGCTAGCTAGTTCAAAAGAAGAAAAGTTTTTCTCCATTAGTTTTCCGGTGATAGATGAATGCAATGATAGTTCGTGATCTCTACAATTGTGTTACTGTAGCTGATCATCTAGTTGTTTTATCCTAGGAGACAGACGACCAACGATCTCGAGCACTAAAAGAGTGGCTGAAAATCTATGTTAAGGAAACTGTGTAGCGATAAGCCTCAATTGTTTCCGATCAAAAGATCAATAAAAAAGAGTATTTTTTTCTATTTATTTTATTTTATTTTTAAGAAGTTTAACTTAGGGGCTGTTTGTTTGCCTCTTAATAGAATCATTCAGCGTTGAATGTTGAACCGTTCAGCATTCAGCGCGTTTGTTTCGCACCTCTGAATGATTCAGTGTTGACTGATTTAGTACATAAGTACATTCTGAATGATTCAGCACAGAAGTACATTCTGAATGATTCAGAGCCATTATCAAACAACATGTCACATTCAGAGCTAATTCATACACAGCCTCTAAATCATTCAACATTTGAATCATTCAGTGCTTAATCATTCTGAAGTAAACAAACAACCTCTTAGTTTGTTTTATCTTCTCATACGTGATTATAGTCTCGGATTGTTATACTTTTAACAATCCTAAGTTATGATAAATTCGTTTTTTATCATTTATTTTTTTACAATGATATTTCATAATTATTACCATTATATTATTTATCTATATTATTCTCGGATTAACAACTTTTATTCAACATTAATTATTTTAAGTTCTTTTGAATCGATTCGGAATCATAAACGCATGAAACCAAACGAAAATGGATCCAAAAATTAGTTAAAAACTGAACGAGCGCGTAATCGAAACCACGTATGTGAACAGACAAATCAAATATAAACAACACAAAACATAACAGAATTAATGAAAATTTAGAGCGAGGTCATGGATTAAGCTGAGAAACGAACGTTGAAATATCGGATCTATATAAAATTAAGAAAGAGAGAGAACCTGTTGTTGGCGTGCGACTTGTTCCCTCAACCGGGAGGCTTGTTTTCTGATTGCCTCCATTAAAGCGACACAATTTGACCTTTAACGATGGATTCGAAGAGCTGAAAACGAAGAAAGCGATATGTGTATATATATATATATATATATATATATATATATATATATATATATATATATATATATATAGAGAGAGAGAGAGAGAGAGAGAAATCAAATCGTCGAACTCGAACGGTGTGTGTTTTTGGAGAATTTTTAAATTCGGATTCTTCAAGGAGCCTTTCTTTTGTTGGGTATATATTCAATGTTACCTTTATCTATTTTTTAGTTTGTGTTATTCTGTTTTGGTAGTTTGCTTTTTGTATCGTTGGTTAAACTACACAAAGTCATTGAAATATTAGTAAGATTTTATCTCACTAATATTATTCATAAAAAGGTATCAGCCATCATTATTTTTCTTTAATTTGATAATATGACACATTAATAAAATAAATAATATTTAATTTATTTTTAAAAGTATAGGTAAAATATTAACTTAATTATTGATGTAGTAAAATTACATATCTTTATCATTTTCGAATTGTATTTTGCATACATCTAAAGTCGAAGTGTTTGTGTTTTTTATAAGATATACTAAAGTGGATTATTTCATTTTTTGTTAAATAATTTTTATTATATTAAAACACATTTTTATCATTTAGTTTATATTTGAATACAATAAAATATAAAAAATCCATTTAAAATGATGAAGTTTAAGGGTTATAATATTATCACATAATTATAGACCCTGATATAAAAATGACGCGAATCAAGGGGCACAATACAATGACGAGTCAAGGGGCATAGATCTGTATGCTTAGAGCGCAAAGCCAGGAATTCTAATTGTGGTAGACTTATGCTTTATGAAGAATAAGCATGAAAAGTCCATGAATTGAATCAGCATTGGAGAATTTTTAATTTGATTAATCAGTCGCCTTCTGTGTTATGACGTTTAAACTAATCTGTATGGATGGAGAATCATTTATCTTCTTTCTTTGATTTCTTTTCTCGTCCTCTTTCTAGAAAACGGTATACCTGCATATAATGTGTTGCATGGAACATCATGCAGGCATAATTTGGTTCAATGAGTTGGAAAAAGCCCACTTTCCTTACATAAAAACCCAAATTTCATGCAGTCCAATCCTTTATGAGCTTCATCGTAAGTCAGAAGCAATCAAAACCTTAGACGTGCATCAATAGCAACTTTGCTCTTATATATACATATGACACTCATGCCGGGCATGAACTTGGGATATGATCCACTAAAGACCTCTCAAACATATGGGAATCTTGAACATACCTTTATGGGATGTATACTCATGTTGGACACTGATATCCTAGTACAAACAACCATGTATCAGTCATATCCATGTAAGATCAAGAATAAAAAGAGGTGCTGCCTTGATGAATCATTCTATCTCTTCTTGTCATTTTGCTTGAGACCGTGATATTACTTCTTATAGTCTCTCTCGAATTGACTTTGAACCACGAAATTTAGGAATAAGAGTTAGATATGAGTATGTCTTTGAATATGGATATGTTTATTTATTTTTAAGGTTTTTTTTTCATCCATGCATATATCAATGCATCAAATGGGGATGCCGAACATAAGTATTTCAACAAGAATAAAGAGTTTGAGGAACAATGCTGTCAAGAAGTTTCAGAAGCTGCTATTCAGAATGTCGTGGCCATTTATGTTAGTTGTAGTTCACACCTATAAGTGTTAACATTGGGGCTTAGTGTTGAAAGGTGCAATGTAAACATCAAAGTTGACATGATTTGGTGCATCGCATTAACATTAGAAGAGTTGAACTTAACTCTTCAGTCTTTTGGCTTTGTTTAGGGAGTTATGTACTTCGTTTTTAACTGATTGCCCGTTGGCTCCTTTCTTATTCACTTCAGAATCCTCAGCATCAAAATCTTATTATATTTAAGTTATTAAAATTCATTTTTAAAGTAAATCAAAAGGTCAGGATGGCCGAGTGGTCTAAGGCGCCAGACTCAAGTTCTGGTTCTCGTTAGAGAGCGTGGGTTCAAATCCCACTTCTGACATGGTTTTTTTAGCATAATGGTTTGCTGATTCTTATGCTGCCTGACTTCTCGGTAGTTAATTTCCATCTCCTGGATGCTCGTCAACTACCGGTCGTCAACCCTCACGTCACCGTTCGATCCACCCTCACGTCACCGTTCGATCCATCAGAAGCACCACGAACTTAGCTACTCATTGGTTAAATAATAATTCCCCTCAAAAAGAAAATTTGACTAAAGTATCAATTTTATATTAAATATTTTAGACAAAAAAGAAGTTCTATGTTCTTAAAATAATATTTTATATCCAAATTTGAAAGAATTTTATTATAATGCTTAGGAGTTAACTCGACGTAAATAACATAAGATCTTAAAATAAATATGTCAAAATAAAAAGTAAAATATAATTTAAAGATTTATACTAATCACAACAACCATAACAACAACAATTCCCACAGCCTAAGGTCCCAAAGGTTAGTCTATTCAAGCCTTAAATATCGGCAAATCCTCACAATTCCACGTGTCCATCTTTAATTGGTCCACAAGCCTGTCCGGCTATTTAAACTCCCTTCCCTTTGCTTAGTTCCTAACTAACCATCAAAATTAATTTCATAAAGCCACTAATCTTTTCCTCGTTAGTTTTTTTTTTCAAAGAAAATATTTTCTACATCAATGGCAAATCCTAAGGTCTTCTTCGACATGACGATCGGCGGCCAATCGGCTGGCAGGATCGTGATGGAGCTCTTCTCAGATTGCACTCCCCTCACAGCGGAGAATTTCCGTGCCCTTTGCACCGGCGAGAAAGGCGTCGGGCGTAGTGGAAAACCTCTCCACTACAAAGGCTCGACCTTCCACCGCGTAATCCCCAACTTCATGTGCCAAGGAGGCGATTTCACCGCCGGAAATGGCACCGGAGGCGAATCCATATACGGAGCCAAGTTTGAAGACGAGAACTTCATCAAGAAACACACCGGACCTGGGATCCTCTCGATGGCCAACGCGGGACCGGGAACGAACGGGTCTCAGTTCTTCATTTGCACAACCAAGACGGAGTGGCTGGATGGAAAGCACGTGGTGTTTGGACGAGTTGCTGAAGGCATGGACGTGGTTCGTGCCATCGAGAAGGTCGGGTCCAGCGGTGGAAGGACTTCCAAGCCTGTTGTTATTGCTGATTGTGGACAGCTTTAAAAAACAAAAGATTCAAAGTTTTTGAGTTTCTGGCCTCATTTTATGATGCTGTTTTCTTTTTGTTCCTTTAAATGGTTGTTCTCCAAGAACTAACCATAGAATAAGATAGCGATTTTGTTAGTTTCCATCATAACCGTCAATTAGCTGATGAAAATTTCAGTTTTGAAGTTGACATGAATATAAAGTCTCGAATCTCTTGATTCCCTAAACCAATATATCTCTTACTCATTGTCATGATCAATTTATTTTCATCCACGTACACAGGAACCAATATTGAGCAGTCTCCCAGTTCCTACTAGTATTAGTATTGTAAATGAGAGAATACCCTAAGTGTTACACAGGCATGATTAAAATTCAAACTCAAATACATCTCCTTGCATAGTTCAATCAAGTCCAAATTTAAGGACGCTTTTTCAATACACTGACAGGTGGTTTAAAAAGAAAGTGTTATCATTACTTGATCAAAACACTTTTGGGTGCGTTTGATTCACGGAATGTAAAATTACTGGCGGGAATAGGATTACCGCAGGAATAAGATTACTGGAAATGTTTGTAACATCCTCAATACCGGGTTAGTGACCAAATTGTAAAGTTTTAGAAATTGGTGATTAAAGTAGGATAATTGAATAGTTCAATGATTTATTGGAAATATGATGAAGGTTATTTAGTAATTATGGAATGAATTAAAGGGTAAAATGGTCAATTGATAAGTAAGATTTTTATATTTCTTTTATAAGATAAGGAACCACGTGGTAAAGGAGAATTATCCAGAGTTTTCTTTCTTCTTCCTCCTCCTCCCGTATCTCCAAGCTCAAAGGTGAGTTTCTTTGTTTATGGATTAATTGTTGATTTTAAGGTTATGTTTTGATTATTAGATGATAACTAAGCTTAAGGAAAACTTAAGTTATCTTAAAATCAAAGTATGATGGAGTTAGGAGGGATTAAAGATTTGGGGTTCTTGGGTGAAATCTTAAAATAGAGTTCATTACTCAAATTGGAGGATAAATTTGACTTGTCAAGGGTTAAATTAAGAGATATGAAGTGATAAAATGAGTTTTGAAACATGTTGGAAATCTGGTATAATTCTTGAAGTTAATAAAGAGGAGAGGATATTAAGGTTCAAGACGAGATAAATGAGTTTGAATAGGAGTAAGTAAGTTAAGAATACGAAATGGAATGATATATGAAGTAATTAAGTTGAAAAGAGGGGATTTTTGGGCATAAATTGGATTTCTGGGCTATGTGCATCGGTGCACATTCAAGGTGCACCGATGCATCAAGGGTAAATTTCCACAAATTGTTCAGTTTGTATCGATGCACAGGAAGTGCATCGATGCACCCTTAAAAAATGGAAACATCGAATGCAATTTATGCATCGATACATAAGGAATGCATCGATACACTTCAAGGGAAATAGAATTATACCTTTCTTTTGGTCTACGAAATGATAGATTAGAGTATATCAATTGGATACTGATATGTATCAATGTATGATCATATAGATATCGAGCACGAACAAGTCCCGGAACGATTATCAAGTTAAGATTCAATCGAAAGAGATGAAAGCATAAAAGTGGATTAGAACTTAGTGAGGCTCAGGTGAGTGCATACAAGTTAGTTTATGATGTTTAATGGAAATAAGACTTGCGACGAGTCTATTTCCTATATTAGAATGCATTAATTTATGATCATAGGCATATGTTTGATTTGGGTATATGTGATATATATTACAATATGTGTTAAATGATTGTGTGAATACATGTATTGTGATAAGTATAAGAATTAATATGAATGATCTATATGATTGCATGGGAATGTGAAATAGGTTATATGATAGGTGACCATACATGTTAATAGTATACGTGATCAATTATAAGAATCAATATAATATATTTATATGACTACATGAGAAAGGTGATGAGTTAAATAAGATTAGACTACAGAGTAATATGAGAATAATATATTAGTAAAGGGAATTGAGTATAAATGATGATACCAAACCATAAGATAAGTATTTACTTATAGGATAATATGATATTATATGAATATAAAATATAACTTTATGAGGAAGAATTGGGTGTTATATGATTTAGGTATGAAAATGATCTATGTGTAAGTAAATTACATGATTATGTGACTATGTGTGAAATAGAGTAAACTAGGTAAGTATAAGGTATGTAAATATATGGCTATGGAACAAATTATGTAATAATACAATGTTATTTGAGTTATTTAACAATAAGTCATAAGATTACATGCATATGTAACGTAAGTTATAAGTTAAGAAAATATGGGCTTACATGTATTTGTGGATATATATATATATATATATGTTTATGTAAAACCATGCAAAGTGATAGGAGAAGGGAACTACATGATTATGTGATCATATGAGAATGAAATAAAGAGCCATGTGATATATGCCATTAGATATATGAAAGCAAATGTATATGTGATAAGTAAAGTGAATCATATGATTATATAAAGATGTTCTACGTGCAAGTGATCTACGTGTATGTGTGATTTATATGGAAATGAACTACTTGACTACGTGTGATCTTATAAAAATGTAATAAAAAGACTATGTGTATATGTGAATGTGTGATAACATAAAGATTAATGCCCATGTTATGTGTCATGAGAGCTAGAGGTATAGTTGGCATGCCAAGAGTCGAGGGTCTACGCGGTCCTTCAGGACATATATGTATTCTTCGGAACATGTGTGAGGTCTTTTGAGACACATACTTGATCCTTGGCATATGTATATGATTCTTAAGGAATGATATGTGGTCCTTAGGGACAACCTTATATGGTACTTCGTTGCATTTCTACGCGGCACTACGGTGCAATTCTACGTGGCACTTCGGTGCATTTATACGAGCTGTAATGACAGCATTAGTGCACAACCTCTATAAACTCACATATCTATAGTTCTCAGAAATGTACATGGGCATAAATATATTACATGTGAAAAATATGCTTTTGTGATATATGTTGATATGTGTATTGCACGAGTCATATGATGATATGTGTATTGTTTGGTTACACGAAGCATATGTTGGTTAACAAGGTTAAGTTCAAGAGGATATGATCAACACATATAAATGATAGTAATATGGATAGTGAAATATGGCTAATGATAGAAATGATGAGTGAGGAATATATGTGTGTATATGTTTTTATATGTAATGATATATATATTGCATATGTGTTACAGGGATTTGTTACATGAATAAGGGTATGAGTGATAGTAGTAATGGTTCATACATGATTACAAGCTATAGTTTATATTTTATGTTTATTGCCTCACTAAGGCATCGACTTAGCGTGTGATTGTTTCACACGTAGGTTACCAAAGTGAGAAGAGTAAAGAGCAATGTGGAGCAAGACAAGTCAGTTCTTCTTACCAAAGGTCAGATCAGAAGAAAAGTGAATAATATGTATTTTAATACATAAATTTCTAGTTGGCATGTATTCAAGATAATATATTGTATAAGCTCTGAATAGTTCGATAAAGGTTTTGAATAAGTTATATGTAATAATAAATTTTAAATTACTCACTATTTTATACAAGTAAAGGTTTTTGAAAAGTCAATGTGACATTTCAGACTCGGATACGGGTTGGGGTGTTACATTTAATGGTATCAGAGCTACAGTTTAACCGATTCTCGGCATAAACTAAAGTCCAAAGTGTCATAAAATATGTACATGCCAACACAGAGTAAAAATTTCTGATCTGATAGGGGAAGGAGTATGTTGTCTTGCCAATAGAATAAGATTTGTATAATATAGTAGAAATTGATTATAGAAATTGTCGAAGTGAATCGATAGCTGACAAATCTGATGGTGATAGCAATTCACTTACCCTGGCCAGACAAGATGAAGAGCAGAAACCTCAGAAAGTGTCTTATAAGATTAAAGGTTGATTTTAGAAAGTTTAAATCATATTAGAATAGTGAAAGAAGATCTTTATTGTTTTGAATCGGAAAAGCGATAGGGATTAGGTTTGTTAGTATGTGGATAAGATAGAATATGGTGAACACATGTCACCATAAGAACGTTAAAAAGATCGAATGACGTGGTGAGTAATTATAGAAGAACTCAAGGATAAGTGCATCAGTGACAATCGTATAAGATGTATAAAGTCAGAGCTTATATGTTTGAAACGAAGTGATAGTATTGAGCATAAACAAGAGTATGTTTATGATAAGGGTTTGCAGTTAAGATGGAAAGAGTTAGCGTTGGCTAACCAGAGTATGTGATAAAAATGTATTGGAATTATAAGATTATAAGATATTGTCAGGATATGATAACCAAAATATGAAATGGATCTGGATACAGTTGCATATTTTGAATCATAGTAATGTCGTATAGTAAAGGAAAAGGAAGTAAGGATTTGTATATTTGAGTAAAGCTGAGGATTGATAAGAAGAGTTTGAGAATGTATATATCAATGATCAGTTTATAAGACAAAGGAAGTTATGATGTTGAGTTTGAATAACGGAAATTTCAGGATGTATGAGAATGGAGGTGAAATTGACAAGTTAAGTAAATAAATTTTGAGATATTTTCGATTGGAAAGGATGTATGTGATTGGTTGACTAGGTTTGTGCCCTTGATTGGACAAATGTTATTGATTAATTGTCAGAGTAAAAGTTATAAGATTGGAAGAAAAGGTAAAGTTGAGTTAATCAATTATGATGTGAAATGAATGTAGTTGTGTATTCTGATCAGATAGCTATGATGTAGAAAAGAAGATAAGTATTTGCATGGAACCTTAAGGAAGGAAAATTCAAGTATAAGAAATGATAAAGAATGAAGTTTTGTATAAGTAAATGGGTTATCAAAGTTATGAGGATGCCATAAAGATTGATACATAGAGATGAGTATAAGTGGTAAGACAAGAGTATATGAACATGAAGGGAAAGATATGATTTGGGGTATAAGGAATAAATAAATGATTACTGGAGTAAAGAAATGAAAAAGAATTTAGTTAAAGGAT